TAGGTCGCTGTTGTGAGAGAATTGGGCATGGCACCAATGCTGGGCTTTAGCAAAACCGCACTCCACCCAGCAAAATAAGCTGGCCGTGTATTGCTAGGGCCCTTCCCTTCCGACGTTTCCCCCTTTCCCGTTTGAACTTTCCTCTGCATAGGAAAGGACAGTGCGTTGGTTGGAAGACCTCCCGGCTTGGCTTTATTGATACCCGTGGCACAGGCCCAGCCTTCTGAGCGCGTGTGTTTGCTGTGTTTATGTGGAGGTTTCTTTTTCCCCTCTCGAGCGCTGGCTTGCAAAGTGCAAATGTGTCCCTGGATGCTCCCTCAACTGTGCACATGGAGCAGACGCAAAGGATGTGGAACCCGCGGCGTCTCCAGCTTGGGATGACTAAGCCAAGGGAAAACAGAAGCTGGCTTTGCAATAGCCAAAGGGCTGTTGCTTTATTCTGGTATATCTTCTCATAGATGGAAGCATGGTGCTCTGGGTCACTCTTTTAAAAAGAACTTTTTCTGAGCTTTTTCACGGTATGCTTTGTTTGCAAAGCCCATTGCTTGTGTTTATGTGGGCGATCCCAACGTAAGAGCACCACAAGGAGAACCTGCACCCTTCCTAATGTTATGCATCTGCAACTCCTGTTGTTGTTGATGTTACTCATATTATTATTAATTGATTTCAGTAAGGCCTTCGACAAGGTCCCTCATCACTCTTCTAATGTGGGCTAGGCAAAACTACGGTTAGGTGGATCTATAATTGGTTAAGTGGACGAACCCAGAGGGTGATTCCCCCCAATGCTTCCTCTTCATCCTGGAAAGAAGTGACGAGTGGAGTGCTGCAGGGTTTCGTCCTGGGCCCAGTCCTCTTCAACATCTTGATTAATGACTTAGATGAAGGGTTAGAAGGCAGGATCATCAAGTTTGCAAATGACACCAAATTGGGAGGGAGAGCCAATACTCCAGAGGACAGGAGCAAGATTCAAAATGATCTTAACAGATTAGAGAGATGGGCCAAAACTAACAAAATGAAGTTCAACGGTGACAAATGCAAGGTACTCCACTTAGGCAGAAAAAATGAAATGCAAAGATATAGAATGAGGGACGCATGGCTTGAGAGCAGTATGTGTAAAAAAGATCTTGGAGTCCTTGTGGACAACAAGTTAAACATGAGCCAACAAAGTGAGCATAGTGTCTAGATCTAAGGAAGTCATGCTCCCCCTCTATTCTGCCTTGGTTAGACCACACCTGGAATATTGTGTCCAATTCTGGGCACCACAACTGAAGAGAGATGTTGACAAGCTGGAATGTGTCCAGAGGAGGACGACTAAAATGATCAAGGGTCTGGAGAACAAGCCCTATGAGGAGCGGCTTAAGGAGCTTGGCATGTTTAGCCTGAAGAAGAGAAGGCTGAGAGGAGATATGATAGCCATGTATAAATATGTGAGAGGAAGCCACAGGGAGGAGGGAGCAAGCTTGTTTTCTGCTTCCCTGAAGACTAGGATGTGGAACAATGCCTTCAAACTACAAGAAAGGAGATTCCATCTGAACATGAGGAAGAACTTCCTGACTGTGAGAGCCGTTCAGCAGTGGAACTCTCTGCCCTGGAGTGTGGTGGAGGCTCCTTCTTTGGAAGCTTTTAAACAGAGGCTGGATGGCCATCTGTCGGGGTGCTTTGAATGCAATTTCCCTGCTTCTTGGCAGGAGGTTGGACTGGATGGCCCATGAGGTCTCTTCCAACTCTATGATTCCATGATTCTACCTGCCTCTCCTTGCATCCTCTTGCAGCTCAAAGTTGGGTGCCACATGGTCAAAACAGCGAGGTAAAACAAAACACGATTAAAATAGTGTTCTGCATCATGGTGAGGGATGCAGAGATGCTTAGAATGGCATGGTTTCCAGTCCTAGGGCCCTATCATGCTTCACTACTATAGCGCTGTTATATTTTCACTGCTTTCTGACGACATTGTATGGAATTGTGCAGAAATTGACACTTGAAATTCTTAGCTCTTGGGTCTGATGAAGCTATAAACCCACAGAATTCTGTCATTACAACCAAAGTGGCCTCTCAACAAAAGATTGCTCCAGGCACTGCCGGGCAATCAAATGCTAATCAAGGTGATCAGTTGAAACATTCACACCTAGCTCCAGCAGACAAGAGTCCTTTGTCTCACCCTGGTCATTCCACAGATATATAAACCCTTTTTCCTAGTTCCAACAGACCTCACTACCTCTGAGGATGCTTGCCATAGATGCAGGCGAAACGTCAGGAGAAAATGCCTTTAGAACATGGCCATATAGCCCGAAAAAACCTACAACAACCCAGTGATTCCGGCCATGAAAGCCTTTGACAATACATGTTTCTTTTCTTTTGAAAGGAAAACCTTTTTTTAATCTCTCCCAAGCAATCTACTATCTAAGCTTTGCTGATGTGAGTCCTACTACCGGTGCCAAACTAAGTCTTGGGTCCCGAGTAGACCTACCAGTCAAGGCTTTGTAAATTCTCCAGCTGGAGTTCTTTGGGTCTGTAAAACTGTTTCCCCCGAAACTGTTTCCCCTGAAGCTGTTTCTCCCGAAGCTGTAAGAAATGAAGCTTTTCTGCAGGTGGAGCTGGTCCACGTCCTGTAGCTTAATTTCCTTCTGTAAGACTGAACTAAAAATGGCTCCCTCTCCTCCCAGGGCCCTGGGGAAAGGGGCGGAATCAAAACTTAACAATGATTAATGGGTCATTGGCCCTATAAATGCAAACCAAGGGAAGTCACCTTTGCAGAATGCCTGAGACCTTGGAATGCATGCAGACATTTAATAGAATGAAAATGAAGTTGGAGCTCCTAGTACAAACGTACCAGCACACCTCATGTTGCAAAATCTCAAGAAGCCGTAGCTTCTTCTTGCAGAATAGCTCTGAAAATAGGTTTAATGTAAGCAGAATCTTCTAAGCACTTGCCCCAGAACTCAAGGAATCTGGGGCCGCTTGATTGTGTCCTCTGAGTGCCTGAAATGCAAGCTCTTCCACAGTGCAGCCGATGACATTCTGCTCTCGACCCAGCTGGCAGGAGCGCCCTTGCAGGAGTTCCCAGAGCCAGCTTGACAGAAGTGTATTTAAGGATTTATTGTGTTATATAAACCGGTAAACCAAACAGATGCTTTTATTGTGAGCTCTGAGTAAGTGGCGGGAGGCCACGGTTGGAACAGCCTCTTCCCCCGAAGGGCTCGCTAGCTTAGCAAGAAAAACATCACCTTTCTGCCTCTTTTCGCTCTGGAGGGACCCCAGAGGTGACAAGCAGACCGCTGGCTCCAGGCCATTCCCCCGATCTTTCGTTTCCATTGAAGAAGAACTGGAAAAGAATCTTCTTGTACCTTCTCACCTTGTCTCCTGGTCTTCATATAGAAGACCAGGAGACAAGGCAAGAAGGCACAAGAAAGCACAAGAATATACATCCAAGGGACTTAAAATTAAAATGGTTAGAACCCTCGATATTTTATGCAATGTGTGTTAAAGAAATAGAGATGAAGACTTAGTTGGAACAATGATAACAATGACCCCTCCAAAATGGCCAGGCAACCCCCCTGGTGGTCGCGACCCCCGGATTGAGAACCGCTGACTTAGATGAAGGGTTAGAAGGCATGATCATCAAGTTTGCAGACGGAACCAAATTGGGAGGGATAGCCAATATGCCAGAGGACAGGAGCAGGATTCAAAACGATCTTGACAGATTAGAGAGATGGGCAAAACTAACAAAACGAAGTTCAACAGTGACAAATGCAAGATACTCCACTTAGGCAGAAAAAATGAAATGCAAAGGTACAGAATTGGGGAAGTGTGGCTCGAGAGCAGTACATGTGAAAAGATCTTGAGGTCCTCGTGGACAACGAGTTAAACATGAGACAACAATGTGATGTGGCGGCAAAAAAACCCAATGGGATTTTGGTCTGCATCAATATGAATATAGTGTCTAGGTCCAGGGAAGTAATGCTACCCCTCTATTCTGCCTTAGTTAGACCACACCTGGAATATTGTGTCCAATTCTGGGCACCACAATCAGGGCCGTAGCAAGAAAAAAAATCGGGGAGGGTTGAAAATTTGGGGGGGGGTTTGAAAATTTGGGGGGGGGGTTGAAACCTGCCTCCTAGCTCACGCTGAAGCAAAGAGCACAGCAGGGGCAGAGCAGCCTTCAATAGCCTGCAGTTCCGCCCCTGTCAACCACCTCCACCAAGTCTGGCCTCCTTAATGAGAGCATTCAACACCCCCGCCCCCCCCCCCAACTTGGTTGCTTCGCTACATCGGCTATTGCTGCAAGTAATGACAGTGTGAATAAATTGTCAATATTTGCTTGAGATAGTGCTTGCAGTTCTGGAGGGACTCATAGACTTAGCATGGGGATTTGGTTAACTAGTTAAAATTCATGAGTAAACCAGGTTTATTTGTTTTAACCTAAAAAAATTTGGGGGGGGGAGTTGAACCCCTAACACCCCCCCCCCCCCCTCTACAGGGCACCACAATTGAAGAGAGATATTGATAAGTTGGAATGTGTCCAGAGGAGGGCGAATAAAATGATCAAGGATCTGGAGAACAAACCCTATGAGGAGTGGCTTAAAGAGCTGGGCATGTTTAGCCTGAAGAAGAGAAGGCTGAGAGGAGACATGATAGCCATGTATAAATATGTGAGAGGAAGTCATAGGGAGGAGAGAGCAAGCTTGTTTTCTGCTGCCCTGGAGACTAGGATGCGGAACAATGGCTTCAAACTACAAGAAAGGAGATTCCATCTGAACATTAGGAAGAACTTCCTGACTGTGAGAGCTATTCAGCAGTGGAACTCTCTGCCCTGGAGTGTGGTGGAGGCTCCTTCTTTGGAAGCTTTTAAACAGAGTCTGGATGGCCATCTTTCAGGGGTGCTTTGAATGCAATTTTCCTGCTTCTTGGTAGGGGGTTGGACTGGATGGCCTCTTCCAACTCTTTGATTCTATGATTCTTCTAAGTCTAGTTTGTATGATTAGAGTTTAAAACAAGCTAAGCTGTTGACTGTTCCGTGTTTACATGGTGCTTTCCCTCACTGTTTTACTTATTTCTTGTTTCTAGGACAGATTTCTGTGTCCATAAAGATGAGCCCTGTGACACAGTGGGTGAGTAAACTTGGAGATTGTCTTCCTTGACCAGCCTTTGATCTGCTACAAATTTAATCCCAGCGCATATAAAACCTTGTATAGTACATTTGAATGTTGAGGTGCATCCTCTTGACATTTTCCGCGCAGCTTGATAAACTCCATGCTTATCAAGCTGTGCATGTGTCCCCATGTGTCTTTTCTGTATTTATTAACATCAGCATGAATGTGGAAGGTGGAAAAGTGTGGAAAGCTGGGATTGTGTCTTCTGCTTCTTGTAATGTCAATGTCATGTATAGTCTGCCTCTATGCTCGTTGTTGTTGAGGGATTGTCACTTGGAAATATTTATCACTAGCTTCGGTACCCAACCCTGCCCAGTTGAGGGGTTTGGAAATGATAAATATTACAAAGAATCATTGTTTGTTTTTGGATATTATGTATGGTCCCATTAGAAAATGAATAAGGTTGTGGGTGAACTACAACTCCCATCATCATCTACCATTGCCCCAATCCACACCAGTAGCTAAAGTTGGTCATAATAGATTTATATGCCAGTTTTGGTCCAGATCCATTGTTGGTGGGGTTCACTGTGCTCTCTGAATGTGAGTGAACTACAACTCGCATCATCCCAGGTTAATCAAACCCCATCAGTAGTTAAAGTTTGTCATGATGGATATATGTACCAAGTTTGGTCCGATCCAACATTGGTTGGGTTCACAGTGCTCTCTGGATGTGAGTGAACTACAACTCCCATCATCCCAGGTTAATCACCTCCAAACCCCACCAGTAGTTAAAGTTTGTCATGATGGATATATGTACCAAGTTTGGTCCGATCCAACATTGGTTGGGTTCACAGTGCTCTCTGGATGTGAGTGAACTACAACTCCCATCATCCCAGGTTAATCACCTCCAAACCCCACCAGTAGTTAAAGTTTGTCATGATGGATATATGTACCAAGTTTGGTCCGATCCAACATTGGTTGGGTTCAGAGTGCTCTCTGGATGTGAGTGAACTACAACTCCCATCATCCCAGGTTAATCACCTCCAAACCCCACCAGTAGTTAAAGTTTGTCATGATGGATATATGTACCAAGTTTGGTCCGATCCAACATTGGTTGGGTTCACAGTGCTCTCTGGATGTGAGTGAACTACAACTCCCATCATCCCAGGTTAATCACCTCCAAACCCCACCAGTAGTTAAAGTTTGTCCTGATGGATATATGTACCAAGTTTGGTCCGATCCAACATTGGTTGGGTTCACAGTGCTCTCTGGATGTGAGTGAACTACAACTCCCATCATCCCAGGTTAATCACCTCCAAACCCCACCAGTAGTTAAAGTTTGTCCTGATGGATATATGTACCAAGTTTGGTCCGATCCAACATTGGTTGGGTTCACAGTGCTCTCTGGATGTGAGTGAACTACAACTCCCATCATCCCAGGTTAATCACCTCCAAACCCCACCAGTAGTTAAAGTTTGTCCTGATGGATATATGTACCAAGTTTGGTCCGATCCAACATTGGTTGGGTTCACAGTGCTCTCTGGATGTGAGTGAACTACAACTCCCATCATCCCAGGTTAATCACCTCCAAACCCCACCAGTAGTTAAAGTTTGTCATGATGGATATATGTACCAAGTTTGGTCCGATCCAACATTGGTTGGGTTCAGAGTGCTCTTGGATTATGGATGAACTACACCTCCCATCATAAAGGGTCAATCCTCCCTAAACCCCACCAGTATTCTAAAGTTGGTTATCATGTATATATGTGCCAAGTTTGGTCCAGATCCATTATTGGTGGGGTTCATAGTTCTCTCTGGATGTGGAAGCCATCTTGAAAAAAACATGCATACATATTTCTGTTGATGTTTTGTTCCTTCCCCAAATCCCTGAAAACAAACTTACAGACTGCCAATTTTTGTGCATGAATCCAAATTCCATTGAAAACGTTCTCAGAACAATGTGCTTAAATAGCTGGTCTCTGAGCCCATTCTCCATTGCCAAGCACGAAGGGAATATGTACAAACATATAAATGCACCAGGAAAGAAAGAAAAGAAAAGAATTCTGCATATTTTGGGCAGTGTGCATACATTGACAGTGTAAGCATTCTGTGAGCATTACACATATCATTCGAGAAGTGCCGGAGAACATGATTCAATCTGGGTTTTTTTTAATGTGATATTGTTTTATACTGATGTCTGGTTTTGTGCTGTCACGTGCTGGGCCTATAGCAGTTGGCTTTTGAACAGGACGTGCCCTTTGTGCCCAGCGGGAAGCCGGGGTGCCTCGAGTGAGAGGCCCTAAGGATTTTCCTATACAGAGTCTTTAGAAGCTTGAAAGGTTTAACAAAGTCCTTTATTATTGCTTAAGTCTTCAACAAACAATCAAATACTTCTTAGATCTTCAACAAATTAAACAAATGCTTCAAGGCTTTGAATCAACTGGTGGCTTTCTTAATCTTGTCCACAAGGGACAGGCAACTGGCTTCGTGAACTGTTTCTTTTCTTTAAGAGGAAAACCCTTTTTAACCCCTCCTTGGGCAATCTACTTTCTAAACTTTGCTGGTGTGGGCTCTACTCCCGGCTCCAAACTGCTTCTTGGGTCCCGAGTAGACCTACCAGTCAAGGCTTTGTAGATTCTCCAGCTGGAGTCCTTTGGAACTGTTTCCCCCCGGAATTTCCCCCGGATGCTGTGAGAAACGAAGCTTCTCTACAGGTGGAGCTAATCCACATCCTGTAGCTAAGCTTTCCAATGCAAGACTGACCTAAAATGGCTCCCTCTCCTCCCAGAGTCCTGGGGAAAGGGGCGGAACCAAAACTTAACAATGATTGATGGGTCATTGGCCCTATAATTGCAAACCAAGTGAAACCACCTTATTGCAAAATGCATGGAACCTTGGAATGCATGCAAACACTCAATAGAAAGAAATGAAGTTGGAGCTCCTGGTATAGCCATACCAGCACAGTTTTTGTTATGCTACACTTGGAGTGCATTGTAAGCCTTGTAAGCCACCCTGAGTCCCTTTCAGGAGATGGTGGTGGGATATAAATAAAGTTTATTATTATTATTTATCCCCCCTCCCAAACAAAAGAATCCAGAAATCCGCAATACACCGGTTTTCATCTATTCTTGAAGGCTTGAAAGCAATAGAGAAGATTGGTGGTTACAACTAACAATCACTTCTTATTGCTGAGATCCAGCCTATTCATTTCACCCCACTTCTTAGTTTCCAATCAGTATTCTTTTTGTGTATTGTCGAAGGCTTTCATGGCTGGAATCACTGGGTTCTTGTAGGTTTTTTGGGCTAAATGGCCATGTTCTAGAAGCATTCTCTCCTGATGTTTCACCTGCATCAATGGCAAGTGTGCTGGTACGGCTGTACCAGGAGCTCCAACTTTATTTGCTTTGTATCGAGTGTTTGCTTGCAGTCCAAGGTTTCAGAGACTCTGCAGAAAGGTGGCTTCCTTTGGTTGCAGTCATAGGGCAAGTCACCTGTCCATCATCGTTTAGTTTTGGTTCCGCCCCTTGCTCAGGGCAATTGGGAAGGGAAGGGAGCCATTTTTAGTTAGTCTCAGTAAGGAAAGCTAATGTACAGGATGTGTACAAGCTTCTCCTGTACAAAAGCTTCAACCCTTAAGACTTTCCGGGGGAGAACAGTCTCCAAAGATTTCCAGGGAAACAGCCCTAAAGACCAAAGAACACCAGCTGGAAAATCTACTTGCTTTACTGGTAGGTCCACTTGGCGTTCGAGACGCAATTCGACCCTGTAGCAGAGCCCACATCAGTAAGAATTAGATTACAGTCAGCCTGGGAGAAGTTAAAAAATGGGATTTTCCTTTAAAGCAAAGAATTAGTTATTGAAGACAATTGCCTATCCTTCGTGGACAAGATTAGGAAGCCATCAGTTGCATAAAAACCTGGAATCATTTGTTTAAGTTTCTGAAGACGAGAAGTTTCTGTTTGATTGTTCATTAATAAAGGACTTTGTTATACTTCACAAGCCATCTAAAGATCATTTGTGATGGAAAACCTCTGAGAACTTCTCTTCGGGGGCCCCTGTCTTCCCGTTGGGCTCCTTAACCCAGAAAAAGGGGCAGAACTAAAGAACATAATGATAATTGATGGGTCATTGGCCCTATTATTGCAAACCAAGGGAAGCCACCTTATTGCAAAATGCATGGAACTTTGGAATACATGCAAACACTCAATAGAAAGGAAAAGAAGTTGGAGCTTCTGGTACAGCCGTACCAGCACACTTGCCACTGTTTCTGAGTGGCATTAACTTAAGATGTTTGCAACCATCCCATTTTTACACAGACAAAAAATCCTTCTGGGAAGCTCTGTTGGCTAAAGGAAAACAGCACCAGGCGGCCTGCATTTGTCTTTTGGCAGGTTGTCCTTGCTGGAATGGACTGCTGGAGGGAATGGCATTCAACTGCCAAGGGAGCGTTGAAGATTACATAATGACTAAAAGTGAGCTCAGAAATTGGAGTGGGGGGGGGGGAGTATGTAGGTATGTATTGGTGGGATGAGACTGTGCCGGCAACTCCAAGAATCGGAGCAACCACATTTGGGTTGGAAAGCATTTATTGCTGGCGCTTTGTGGCCTTGCTCAATTGATAACCTGGCCCCGACAGAGAGAGAGAGTGTGATGGATTCTTTCTCTCTCTCTCTCAACTAAAAGAAGATTTAAGAGGAAAGACAGCACCACATTCCAATTTCCATCAACTGTAGCAGCATAATTGTTGAGAACCCCCTCCAATTACCGAAATGCAGAAAAGTTTGCTTTTATCCCGTTCAGAAGATGACAGCAACTAGTTAAACCGTCTGGGGGCTGCAGCCGTCAGCCTTGGGCCATCTCTCTCCCTCTTCCTCTCGTGTTGTGACTTGAATACCTTCTCCCGTTTCCTGCCGAAATCTCTGTTCCAGCCACGCTGCCTCGGAGGGAGCCAAATAAGGAGAGTTCAATGTCTAGCTCTTAATATCCTGTGCAAGACGGCAGTTTATTTGTTGGTTATC